CCTGTATCCAATGAGACTCTAAGCCACTCCTCAGTTACTCTCAACTCTCCTGGGTTCTCCTCCTCTAAAGATGAACAAATTCCAAAGACCTTGATTCACAATAGCCCTTTCTTATGGGAAAGAATAGCCTGATTTTACTGTAAGCTCCTCGTCTCCCCAAGGAAACCTTTCCTCTCCACAGTTCTTCTACTGTCTTAGCCTAGGTCTACAGTGTCTAGCTAGAAAGGATGCTCTCCTGGATCCTCTCATTAGGGGACTTGTGCTGTTGTATCCATTGCTGGTGGACAATTGGGCTTTGGAGTATGAAGCCTCCTGTATTATCTCAGTCATTAATTCCTCCAGAAAAAATGGCACACGCCTACAAATGACATACTATCTTACAGGGAATCCTCCCTCAGCTCCATTCCAGGAATCGAGTTTCCAGGAAGCAAGGACCTGGCTCCAGTGGTTGATTTATTGAAGGATGTTCTTGAGAACCCATCAGTCATTTTTCTGGTCACATTTTCATTGATTGGCACAGATGACAGGAAAAGTAATGGGTTTATATACACAAAGGACAGTGAGCTGGAACCAAATGGAGGCACTTCTCACAGAATGGGAGCATTCTTGTTGTAAGGGGAATCTGTGGCTACCTCCTGAGCCCCAGAAATTAGCATCTTCTCTGAGGACCCAGGTGGTCAGGAAGGGCTCCCCTAAAGAGGCTAGGGCTTGGTGTTCCCAGCACACCAATTAGTTTAGAAGGGATTACTGGCATATTATACCTCTACCCCCATATGCTTTGTCTCACTGCACTGGAAAGACACCTGAGCTCCGTCGGTGATGAAGATGGAGGCCAATTGAGTATTTCCTCAGGGCAGTCCTAGAGTGGTGATTGTTGGCATGGGAAAAAAGACTCAAGTCACACAGGACTTCGGCTGTTTGTAAAGCACTCCTTATATACACTAATTAACCCTTTTTGCTTGCACAGCCCAAGGAGGTCAATGTTTGGGGAAACTGAGGCCCAGAGGGGTTCAATGAGTTGGCCATTCAAGCAGAAGGTGGATAAACCCACATGGCAATGCTTATCATTGGGAGCTCAGAGTTCTCTCCACTATGTAAGCATGTTTTCTTTCCTTTTCCACCCTCCAAGGAACACGGGAATGAAAACACAGGGTGAGGACTCCAAAACGATGTCAGCTGGGAGACTAATTCTAGTTAGAGCTGCAAGCTGGCATCCAAACACAACCACCCCCTGAACTTCCCAGGCCAGCCCAGTTCACATGCCCTGCTGCCCTGGCCTCTTGCTGGCAGCAGCAAATGATGACGGCTAAGGGCGAGGCTGTCAGCCCCAGGAAGATTGCAGCAGTGTGTTCACCACCATCAGGCCTGAGTGAGTTATTGACCCCTTCTGGAGGCGGCAGCCCAAGCAGAGATGATTTTGGGGAGGGAAGGGACTGGAGGCAGTGACTACTCATTTCCTCACTAGCGTCAGAGAGGCTGAATGTTCCAGAACTGGAAAACTACCAAGCTAATAAGCCTCTTTCCAAGGGGGTGTCATTCTTTAGGATGTCCTCCTCTGGTGGTGATTCTGCTCTCAAGAGGGTGAAACAACCTTGGGAAATGTTTATTTCTCTCTCATTTCCTCCGTCATTCTGTCAGTCCATATTTGATAAGCACACAGAGAGAACCCATTCTGCTGTGAACTGGGCCTTTCGAGGCACCGGTATGTGCGGTACCATCCTGCTCGGCCACTGAGGCGGGGGAGATGTGCACAAAGTGATTGTGAGATATCCTATGTGACATTTCACTTCCGGTGTCAGTTGGACTGGACTATGCTATGTGGTCAGACGGTAGTCTGGATGTTTGTGTGGGAGTGGCAGTATTGGGGGGGGAATAAGATTAACATTTAAACTGATATTTTAGAGTGGAGTGGATGCCTGGTTGCCCATAGTGAGAGTGGACCTCATCTAACCACTGGAAGGTCCTATACCAAGCCAAGAATGGAATCCCCAATCAAGAAGGAACTGTGCAGCAAATGCCTTCTGACTAGAAATGCAGCAGCCTCTCTGCACCAGGTTCTGGATGAGCTGGCCCTGCAGATGTGGGGCTTGCCAGCCTCAGTAACAAACAAGCCAGCTCTTTAACTAAATACATGTGGGTCTTACCGATTTTGTCTTTTTTTTTTTTTTTGACAGGGTTTCACTATGTTGTTCTGGCTGTCCTGGAACTCATTATGTTGACTAGGCTGGCCTTGAACTCACAGAGATCCACCTGCTTATGCCTCCTGAGTGCTGGAATTAAAGATGTGTGCCACCAAGCCCAGCTGATTTTATTTCATTTTTTAAAGAAAAGTGTGTGTGTGTGTGTGTGTGTGTGTGTGTGTGTTTACACAGGCACATGTGTACAGGTTCCCTTCGAGGCCAAAAGAGGATGCTGGATCTCCTGGAACTGTAGTCACAGGCGGCTGTGAGCATCCCAGCAGAGAGCTGAACCTGCAAGGGTAAAAAGTGCTCCTAACCACTGAGCCACCTCTCCAGCCCTGGCTCGGTTTCCTTGGCAGACTCTGGCTGATGTACTTTACAGTCTCACCACACTCTCCACACATGCTGGTAGCATCTGTCTGGGGCCACTAGTGTCTCAATGCCAGTCTCTCTCATTCGTCCTCTCTGTGACTGTCACCTTCCCTGTGGCCCCACCCCTGTTTTCCTGCCTCCTCATTTTCATATACCGTCACCTTTGGGCTTTAATCATATAACCTCCGAATAGCAACCAGCTTTGATCCTGGAGCTCCTGACTTTAATTCTATCAGACTTTGTCCTTGGTGAATCAAAGGGAGTAAGACAGAAAGGAGAAAGAACCACACGTTCTGTCTCTTTCAGTGTCACTAAAGGCTAAATTTATAAATTGAGTACCATCACAGAAAACACTTCTTCCCAGGCTGGGGGAACATGGTTACTAAATAAATCCATTCTTCAGGAGGCCTTTGAGACCCTTCAGCACTGTGTCTATTCAGTGCTGGAGGTGGGTCAGGCTTTAGCCCACCCATACAGAATCATCAACGCCCACCCATCCCAATGGCATTTCAGGGAAGGGGGCTGTCTTCTTTGATCCCAGGAGAATGACCTTTGTCTAGATTCATCCTGAGAGCTCTTTAGGACTCCAAGAACGTTGTCCCCTTTCTGTTAGAATCATCCTCATATCACTGAAAATACACAAGTACTTTTCTCTCTGGTTAGGGTTCAAGGATGCCCACACATGCCTTCAGGGGCCTTCAGAGGGCCACCAGGCATGTGGCCCTCTGCCTGCTTCCCACACAAACTGAGAAGTTAAACAAGAAGACTGTGAGCATCTCCATGACACATTTGTTCAGATGAAGGCCAGCCTAGAGAACTTAGCTTTTATCCTTAGCAAATTCAGGGAGATGGAATCATTTGCTGCACAAGATTACACAGGACAGAGCGTGTGGGGAAGAACAGTCAGTTCTGGGGAAGTGACTGGCTGGCTTGTCCCTGAAAGGTACTCTCCCTCGGGGAAAGAAGCCCAACACTTTCCTTCCCAGAGCACATAGTCAGGGGCTTGTCCCACAAATCCTCATCCAGCCACGGGGTAGGGCAGGCTTATTTGACCGGCTGGAATAATACTACCCTTCCATTGCACTTTAGACAGAAAGAAGGGTGGCTGAGGAGATGGCTTCATGGGTAAAGACCTACTGCACAAGTGTGAGGATCTGAGTTCAAATCCCTGGAACCCATGTAAAAGCCAGGTGTGTTAAAATGTTCCTGTCATTCCAGCTCTTCTGTGACAAGGGGGGAGGCAGAGACAGCTTAATCTCTGGAAGCTTCCAGGACATCTGGCCTGGCACATGTAGCAAACATCAAATAGGCGGACAGTGTTCTGATCCCACCCTGTGCATGAGTGAGCATGAGCTCACGCCCACCCATACCACATACACACAGAAAGAAAACCAGAGTGATGGGACAAGCCCCCTCCTGTTACATATCAGAAATCTGCAAGCTCAGGTTAGGCCCCTTCTCACCTAAGTGTTCTGTAATCTTAGCCTGTCTTTGTGTGGCAGATGCTAGTGGTGATGCTGTCCTAAATGCAGTTCCAAAGAAAGAAGATGACAGTCTTTGCCACCTGCTATCAGCTAATGCTCGGGGAATCCTCATGCCACCTTGGCATGCTCTTGCGTAGAACCTGGGAGCAGGCCCTGGAAGACTCTGCCCCTAGGAAATCTTGGCATAGCACTGTAATTGTGGATTCAGGAAACACTGTCCTTGGCTCACTTAATTCTCTCCACATAATTGATTAGAAGAGGGAGAAATGAAACATCAGGAGGAAACACGCATTTAATTCATGTTAAAGAGTCCCGCTCGTTTTTTAATCCTGGCCTTTGTGTTCCTGTCTCAGTCCTTGGTCACTGTAAATCAGTTAGAAAAGAAAATGACTTCAAAATGCAAAAGAGGGAAGCAGAGGAGCAACCCTTCACATCTAATCCAGGTGCCAGTTAGGGTTTTAATTTTGAAGCCTGGGAAGGAGGCAGAGGTGGCCTTTGGCCCATTGGGAAGCAGAATCATCTTAAACGGCGATAGACTTAGGGGGTAGGGGCAGGTGTGTGAAACTTGCACCACAAACTACCTAAAGAATGAAGATTACTCTCAGGGCAGGTGGGAGGGACAGGCGTTTCCAATTCCTCCTTAATGGGAATATGAACAAAGTCATTCCAGAACAAGGTATTACATGATCTCTCCTATAAAAAAAAGGAGAGAAAAAGAGAAGAAAAGAAAGAAAGAAGAAAGGAAGTAAGGAAGGAAGAAAGAAAGAAAAAGGAAGGTGCAGAAATGTGACTTCCTTAAGATGTACTCTTAGGAAAAAACGTGACTCTCCAAGGTTCCTACATCTCTGAGAGCGTCAAGAGCAAAATCTAGAAAGGAAGAAACTAGGTGGGTTATTTGCGAGTCTTAAGCCACTGTGAAATAAATCTGAGGGTGAGCTGACCTGGCTCTCTGGGATCCCCACGGCCGACTTGATCTGCTCCCTAGCGGACATATGTGGTGCTGCAGCTCTGGGCTCCGGCTGTGGCCACCTTCAGACAGCGCCGCGTGCTGACGCTGTCCGCTCACAGCCTGGCCACAGCTCTCTTCTAGCCTTTGGTCCTCATCCAGCCACCAGCAAAGCCGCAGGCTAGGAGATTGCAAAGACGCGGGATCTACTCGTGCTGGTGCAGGCAGGCAACTCTAGCATCCTGGGTGGAGAGCCCTCGCGGCATCTCTGAGGCCATCCCCTGCGGTGCAACTTGCCCAGGGGCGAGGCAACTTTGGGGCTAACCTGCAGGCTCGCTTCAGGTGGCTGGGTCCTGCGTACCGTGGGTACAGGATGGCTAGGACCAGTGGGATCATCAGGTTCTGAGGGAAGGCTCTGGCGCCTCTCCGGTTTCTGGTTCCCTGAGGCGCTCAGGGTGCTCCGAGGGACTGGAAAGTGACAGCTCAGACGACCACGCAGAGCCCTTGAGGCAGCTTTGAGGCTGCTGGGCTGGGGATTCCTCTGAGAGGCATCTACCCCAGGAGTCTCTCTCATAGCAGCCTTGCTTCCGGGGGTCTAGGCTCGCAAGCAGGAGTCCCCCAGGGAGCGAGCAGCTTCGGGAAGATCCGGGAGCTGGGGCTGCGTGTCTTGGAGCTGAAGGAGGTGAAGAAGGATGTGCGTGAGCTGGGCTTTTGGGGGACCTGGATGTACCTGGAGTAAAGCTTACCAAGATGGGGGCTGCTTTGGGTGTCCATTAGGAGGTGGTTGTGTTACGTGTCCTGAGGAGAAAGGTGTAGGTTTGGGGGTTCCCTGGGGGATGGTGCTGCTGAGGAGGGGTCCCCGTTCTCCGGAAAGCAGTTAATCACGAGCCTCCTCTCTCGGCAGGCAGAGCGGCTGACCCTTCCTGGGACCCACGCTCAAGTGCATCTGCAGATGCTCAAAGGGGGTACGGCAAAGCGGGGTTTCTGCGGTGGTGGCTGAGCAGCACGGTGGCTGGGCTTGTGTCCTGAGACTCAGGTAACTTCAGATTCGCAGGGAGGAGACAAGCACGCCCCACGCGCGCGCGTCCTAAGAGAAGCGCAAAGGTGTTCTCTCTCACTGGCCTCCCGGTTTGTTTCAGGGCGGGAACAGGCAGATCTGTGCCCGGGTGCTCTGGCGGGCACCTGGACGGCGGTGCATCGGGCCCCGCCCCACGCGCCACCCTTTAAAGAGCAGCCAGGCCGGGCGCTCCCTTGCAGTCTAGGCTACGGTCATGGAGGGCACGCCCGCAGCCAACTGGAGCATCGAGTTGGACCTCGGGAGTGGAGTGCCCCCGGAGGCGGAGGGGAACCTCACTGCCGGGCCACCGAGGCGCAACGAGGCCCTGGCGCGCGTGGAGGTGGCGGTGCTGTGCCTCATTCTGTTCCTGGCGCTGAGCGGCAACGCGTGCGTGCTGCTGGCGCTGCGCACCACGCGCCACAAGTACTCGCGCCTCTTCTTTTTCATGAAGCACCTGAGCATCGCCGACCTCGTGGTGGCTGTGTTCCAGGTGCTCCCGCAGCTGCTGTGGGACATCACCTTCCGCTTCTACGGGCCCGACCTGCTGTGTCGTCTGGTCAAATACTTGCAGGTAGTGGGCATGTTCGCCTCCACCTACCTGCTGCTGCTTATGTCGCTCGACCGCTGCTTGGCCATCTGCCAGCCGCTGCGTTCGCTGCGACGCCGAACCGACCGCCTGGCGGTGCTGGCGACATGGCTCGGCTGCCTGGTGGCCAGCGCACCGCAGGTGCACATTTTCTCCCTGCGAGAAGTGGCAGACGGCGTCTTTGACTGCTGGGCTGTCTTCATCCAGCCCTGGGGACCCAAGGCCTACGTCACGTGGATCACGCTCGCCGTCTACATTGTTCCGGTCATCGTGTTGGCTGCCTGCTATGGCCTCATCAGCTTCAAGATCTGGCAGAACCTGCGACTCAAGACGGCAGCGGCGGCCGCGGAAGTCGAGGGGACTGAGGGATGTGCGGCCGGTGGAGCTGGGCGTGCGGCGCTGGCTCGGGTTAGCAGTGTTAAGCTCATCTCCAAGGCCAAGATCCGCACAGTGAAGATGACCTTCATCATTGTACTGGCCTTCATCGTGTGCTGGACACCTTTCTTCTTCGTGCAGATGTGGAGCGTCTGGGATGTCAATGCGCCCAAGGAAGGTAGTGCCGGTGGAGAGGAGAGGGTGGAAGGGGTAGGCCCTCGTTCCCCGATCTCTGTGATCCCAAAGTTCTGGTGTCCTCCTGGGGTATGACCTAGTTTGACATCATCATTCCTCAGTTCATAAACTTTGAGGAGATAAATTCACCAAATCTCCAGGACTTAAAGGTTCTGCAGCATTGAAATACCCATGAAAGTACCAACTCTTGCCAGAATGCAGGCAAAATCCCCAGCACAGGCCTTGGACAACTTTCACTGTGAAAATCCTTAGTATGGAAGGGAAACTGAGGCAGGTGACTGTCTTTTCTACAGAGACAGAATGGAGGTGGGTTTCCAACCTGAGCACAGGCTCCTACTTTGAGTTCACTTTAAATTGAACTACTTTAAACTAAGTCAGCTTGGACTCATCAGGTCAGTGTTGGATAGGGTCAATCCCAGGAAGGAACAGTTGGTTCTGTGAACCCTGAAGGGAGGTCCAATGAAGGCTGAATGGGTCTCCCGAGGGACACTAGTGGGCCACACAGAAAGTTTGGGTAGAGCAACAGCCTGAGTGGGAGTTTCCTGACCCAGGGTCCTTAGGAAGGTCCATGGCCAGGGAGCTGAGCGAGGTGTAAGACAGAAGGGGGAGTTTCTAAATAAGGCCCAGGCCTAGCTGCTTCCTCAGAAGAATGGGAGGATCTTAGTTCATGCAGTGCACAGGGAACTCCAATATCAGTGGACACTCCTTAGCTGGGCAAGCCTAGGGGATACTGACTATTTTGGCAATTTTCCTTGTCTCTGTGACAAAGGCAGTTTAAGAAAGAAAGGTTGATTTAGGCTCACAGTGTGAGGGGATGGTCGTCTGTCTGCCATGGTGGGAATGTATAGCAGCAGGTATGAGGTGTCTGGTCACATTACATCCACTGCAGAAGGCAGACGAAGATGAATGCTGTTGCCCAGCTCGAATTCGGTCCAGCCCCTTGTCTATGGATGGTGCCACCCACATTAAGGGTGGGTTTTCCTTCCCTGCATAAACATGGAAATGCCACCCTCACAGACGTGTCCAGAGGTGTATCTCCCAAGTGACTGAATCCTGTCAAGTTGAAAACGAGAATTGATCATCACACCTGACATCTGGCCCTGCCTCCTGTGCTAACTGGCTCTGAGATGCTGGGTTAGGGGACCTTTTGACCCTCCATATCTACTGCTAAGGATGAGGACACTTCAGGGCCTATACTGGCTGTGCTGGGAACACCTTGGAGGGCCTGGCTGTTCAGTGACCCAGCCCTGTAGAAAGCCATGGGGAAGGTGGACACAGGGACACTGGGCAGCTTTTTCCTTCTTGGCCCCAGAACACGGTCGAGCTTGATTCTTCAGGTTATGCATCACAATCTGATGGGCAGTTCTCAGCTGTCTTGGCTCCTATAGGAGGGTGGTTGTGAGCACTTATGTTCTTTGGGTTTGTATCATGCTATTTTCCTGGGTTCTGCTGCACGTGACTTCAGCCCTCCAGCTCCCAAAGGTTTGATTAACAGTGGAAAGCAAACACGTGAGTGAGGCTTGCTGCACAGCCTTTCCCATTTGTCACGCATCCGAGTGGGCTGGAGACAGTGAGGAGGCAAAGGCAGCCTGGAGGCCTTGGATCCGGAAGCTTAGCATGAAGCTTGGGAGGCCTTAGCTTTGTAGCACTAAGCCTGCAGCCTGGACCACAGCATACTCTGCAGAGCCTGGTTTGGGGCCGGGTCTGCAGCCTGCTTTTACCCCACAACCTTGTCCTGGCAAGTTAGAAGCCAAGAGTACCCTAGTGCCAGGGTTATAAGGGGATTCCCTAGACATCAGAAGGCCCTGCTGGCAGACATCCCTATGCATGGGAAGGAGTGAGTCCCTATCAGAGACTTGATGCCACCTGTAGGACTGGGACATCTCAATAGCGTCAGGACCATTCCTGTCTAAGCAACAGGAATAACAGCCATGGTGGAGCAAGACTCCCTTTCAGGGTATCAGTTAGGTTAAGTGAGGTGTTAGGTGTCACCTGTGTGTGCCTGGACTCTCCAGTTCTCATCAAACTCAGCATGTAGATATGCCCAGTCTGAACATGAGATGGATACTCAGAGAGGTGACCCTTTAAGATTGTTGCTGAGTCAACAGGAGGCCCAGGATCTGGCCCGATGTAATCTCCTACTCGAGACGGACTGGCAGAATTGTCCCCACTGCACCCACTGGGGGAAATGTCAGCATCAGGATTCCCTGGGCCCTTGACAAAAGGCTGGTTTGTGGGCCCCATTGAAGAGCCACAGAAACAGAGGAGACACTGCCTTATTGGTCCCATCATCCTGACATCCAGGGTCATACTGTTCCATCATGACCATGACATGGTGCTCTCAGCACAAGTGCACCCCCCTTCTCCATTGCTGGGACCCCTAAAGCCTTAGCCCCTGCCCCCATCATCTGTGTTCCCCTTTCTCTTCACATCTTTGCCTTTTTGGCTAGATGCATGACTTTTAACCTCACCATGCTTGGTAGTTTGGGACAGATCACCTTGTGCTGTGTGTACGGGTATACATGTGAATGTCTGTGTATGTGTGTGTGTGTGTGTGTGTTCATATTAGTGTCTGTGTGTTTATGTGGGTGGGTGTGGGCTCGTGGGTAAACCTCTGTATATGTGTATTCATGCTGGTATGTGTTTATATGTGTATGTGTCGTGTGTTCATATGGGTGTTATGTAATTGTGTTTGTCTTTGTCATGTGTATGTTCATGTTGGTGTGAGTACATATATATGCATGGTGTGTTTGCTTATGTGGATGTTGGTTCATTTGAATTTGGGTATACAAGTTCAAATGTGTGTGTATGTGTATGTGCATGCTTTGTATGTTTGCTTGTGTGGGTGTTGGTTCATCTGCTATGTTCATGTGAGAGTGGGTGCATGTGTATGAGTGGTTATGCATGTGTGTAGGTTCTCATACACTTGTATACATGTGTGTATGGAAGCCAGAGGTCAACCTTATGCAGTGGTTCAGGTGCCTCCTCTTTGTTTTTTGAGACATTGTCTCTCACTGGTCTGGAACCCACTGATTCATCTAGGCTACTTGGCCAATCAGATTCCCTGTCTCTAATGCTATCTCCTCAGTAGTGTGGTGCAAGCATGCACCCCTGTACTGGCTTTACAACATGGGTGCTGGAGATCTAACTAAGGTCCTCAGCTTGTAAGGCAAGTGCCTTAATAGATGAGCCGTCTCTTCAGCCTAATATGGTGTCTGCTTCTGAAAAATAAGAAGTAAATTTTGGCCGGGCGGTGGTGGCGCACGCCTTTAATCCCAGCACTCGGGAGGCAGAGGCAGGCGGATCTCTGTGAGTTCGAGGCTGGGCAGGACCGATAGCCTCCAAAACAATACAGAGAAACCCTGTCTCGAAAAACCAAAAAAAAAAAAAAAAAAAAAAAAAAAAAGAAGTAAATTTTAACAAGTACCAGGGCCTTAGGGAGCCAGTGAGAGGCCGGACTGGTTTTGAGGGCAGGAGTACCATGGTGCACTGCGGCAGTGGGCGGAGCAGCATGGCGGACAGTGGGCGGAGCAGCATGGTGGGCAGTGGGCGGAGCAGCATGGTGGGCAGTGGGCGGAGCAGCATGGTGGGCAGTGGGCGGAGCAGCATGGTGGGCTGCGGCAGTGGGTGGCAGCTGGCTGGCCGGGCTTGCCGAGAAGCAGAGTAAAGATGAAGGAGTGAGTGTCTTGCTTCGCCATAGTGGGAAGGCTGGTGGCGAGGGCCTAGCTCTGGTCTTGGAAGTGTCCCAGCTGGACCCTTGGTGAGGGAGAGAAGAAGAACCAGGTAGGTGTTCACAGTGTCCTCTTCCTGGGCGGCTTGCTCCTGAGTCCTAGCCTCTGGGAGCAGTTTCTGCTTGCTCCTTCAAGCCATGCCTGGCCAGGAGATGGCGCTTCGGTGTCAGGCATCTGTTCCCTTGGCCACGCCTCACACCTGAAGGATCCCTCTTGCTTGTTCTCTCTCTCCGCTCACCTTACTATCTGAGTGTGAGCTTAATTTTCCCAGAGGGAATCACATTTGAGTCCAGTCACCTTGTTATCAGGCCATGTCCTGTCATCTAACAGGGAGATTGTCTTTTTGCCTTTCTGATGTGCTACAGGAGGTGACTGATTTATCAAGACTTCCTGTCTGCTAATTTCATGCTTCAGTTCAGGTCAGACCTTTATCGACCTCTTCTTATTTTCCAGTCTCTGCTTGCAGCCAGGGACATGGCCACAAATGGTACAGAGTCCCCAGCCAAGCAGTAGGAGAAACTAATGAGAACATGATGGGGTGATCCACACTGGAAGTATTCATTTACCATGTAAAGTGGATGTTCGTAGGAGGCAGTGGCTGCTTCTGTTTCCCTGGAGGGGAAATCAGGAGGGTTTCAGAGAAGAAGCAGTGTTTGAAAAGGTTTCTGAGGGCTGAATATGAGTTTACTGTATAAAGAAGCATGCTCACATTTCATAGTTGAAAGCACAGGCAGTTACTTTATTATTTCTCCTCGTTCATACGTGTTGGGCCAGTTGGAAAGTATTTTAGTTGTGTAAAAACCACTGAGATCCTGGTTAAAAGACTGATATGACTGGGCATACCAGGGGTGGGGCCCCAGAGCTTGCATCTTTGGTCCATGTACAGGTGATGCTAAGTAGTACCCATGAAGCCAGCCACTAGCTACACTTGGAGTAGTGGAACGTTAAGACATAGTCTGTGACCTAAGCCTGCCACATGCCTCCCTCGTGCTTCCATATGAACTGTTCCTTGTGAATGGGGTGACATGGGGTATGCAGGAGGATCTGGCTTTTCTTCTTCAGCCCAGCCCACCACCTTGCATGGTGGCCAGATGCAAGCAGAGCCCAAGCAAAGGCCATTTTAACCTCAGTAGCCCAGATGCTCTTCACAGCCCTGAAATACATGGAGCTACTATACCACAGAGAGTTCTAGAAGAATTGTGATTATAAACATTCAGTCTACAAAGATGTCATACCATGGAACTCCATCTTT